GAGAAGTACAAGAAGGCGAGACAGGATATGCATCCTGGATTTCACCACGACCAGCAGAGGGACCACTGTGGTGCCTCTAGTGCTGGCAACTCAAGATGCAGAGGGGTCCGGAACTCTTCTTCCGACACAGATAATCGATGAGTTCAGAGTGGAGTCTAGAGATGAAAGAAAGAGGAAGAGCAGCGATAGAGGATCGAGACGGTGATGTACTCGGGATGAGGAGGAGGAGGAGCCAGTTCCTCCGATTCAAAGACCACTGGTCGGGGGGATGCACTATGGTCTCCTTGAGACACGTCGCCCAATGTACCCTCCTATGTTCCCAGAGTTGATTACAGAGGAAAGGGTATGACCGGGAGAGCTAGAGATGAGCGAAGGGTTGATCCGAGGGGCTTACCTAAGGTTCAAGACGATCACCGCTTCTGCATGACCTTTCACCTGATTTCTACTCAGTGTGATTCTCACAAGGAACCCCTGTGATTGCTGTGTCTCAAAGTGGATTGGTGGCAAGACATTACTGAGTTGCGAAGGCTTCAGATTGATCATGCCATTGCTATTTGCCAACAAGACTGGGCTTATGAGATCATGGAGTTCCAGATGACTGGAACACAGAGGTAGTAGCTCAGTTCTATGCTACTCTGTTTGTTGAGGAGGATGAGCGGCGGATGCACTGGATGCTTGAGGGCCAGTGGTACAGTGTTGACTATGATGTTTTTGCCGCCCAGCTTGGCTTCTCAGAGGATGATCTCCAGAGGGACAGGATCCACACCGAGCAGGTGTTACCCCCTGAGCAGCTTGCATATATGTATCCTCCTGGTGGTGAGAGAGGAGCTGTGGGGAAGGTTCTAGGTCTTCACCCTACCAGATACCTGGACAGGATGTTCAGAAAGACTATTGACTGCAAGGGTGGAGACAAGGGCAACATTGCAGATTATTCCAGGAACCTACTCCACAGGATGGCACCTGATGCTCGGCCCTTCAGCGTGTTTGATTTTATTTGGTCCGAGATCAGGAGTGTTGGAGAGAGGCCCCTCAAGGGCTGTGGTTTTGCTCCTTATATCATGCATATGATTGAGCAGGTGACTGGGCACACTTTCGAGTATGATAAGATTCACAAGGCCCTGAAGATTATTGCAGATCTGCCTGAGACAGGGTTACCTCCAAAGCAGACTGTGGAGGAGCAAAGAAGAAGACTAGAGGCGCTTGCACCTCAAGTGGTGCACCAGCCAGGAGCTTCACCTTCACCACGTGCTCCTTCACATTCTACTTCACGCCGTGGCAGTCCTCCCTCGCCTATCCGCAGGCTTTTCAGCTCCATATTTGGGATGTGCCGTGACATCCAGACTAGGCAGCAGAAGGAGAGGGAGGCTAGGAGGAAGGACACTCGGACTTTGAAGCAAATTGCTTCTAATCTTGAGCTTGATCCTCCTAGATCTCCTCTATCGATGATGAGGCAACTAGTGAGCCCGAGACCGAGGAGCAAAGAAAAGCTAGATATGATAGAGAGTATGTTGAGTTCATACAGCGACAGCAGCAGCAGCAGGCACCTGAACACCCTGACTCTCTACCACTTCAGGCTCATGTGCCTACTCACTCTCAGCCATGTCCCAGCACTGCCGACGACTATGCTACAGATTGGTGGAGTGACTTGACAGGTGGTGGCGGCTACTACGGCTCTGGTGGCTACGACCCATCTGGTGCCGGTGGTTCTCGTCTGGCTGGTGATACCCGCTCTGATAACGAAGATGATGGGAGAGATGATGATGATGATGAGTGATGCCAGAGATTAGTGACAGCTTGTAGCCCCTTTGTCCTTAGTATGTCATTGTTGGACCTTTGTGGTGATTGATGACAAAGGGGGAGAGAGACTGATTAAAGCTTCAGGATAATTTCATTTGCTTATCTTTGTACCGAAGACATGTACTACAAAGTTGTAGTTTGTTTTGAGCTTCATTGAGATTATATCTTGTGAGAGATGAGACTTATGCTTTATCTATGTATCTCTTGAGACATGATCTTTATCTATATATCGATGGTTTCGGACTTGAGAAAATTTGTAATGAGTGCTATGTATGAATTTCATGTGTCATATTTATTTTCATAAGGACTATGCATGCTAGAATGAAAATATTTGATGTGATGCCTTTATATTTATTCTTGTATGATATATCTTGTCATATGCATCACGGTTTCTCTTTGTCACACACACATGCACCCCACGGATGCAATGATTTAGGGGGAGTCTCCTATTTGTTTTAGTATGTGCAATTGACATTTGAGGTCATTTTGTGAATTCTAATCATAAGCACATATTAAGGGGGAGCCTCTCATAAATCATTGAACCCAAAAGTTTAAATGTTTATATCATTTTGTAAGCTTTAATCAAGTTGTCATCAATCACCAAAAAGGGGGAGATTGAAAGTGCATCTAGCCCTTTAGTGGGTTTTGGTTGATTGAATGACAACGTGATTAAAGGACTAACCCGTTTGCTAAGTGTGAACAGGTAATAGGTTATCTCACAGGTACTTAATGAAAGCCAAAATGATGTGTTGTTGTATAAACAATCTAGTTCAAGCACAAGACAACAATGCAAATGGAATTCATGTGAAGGCTTATTTTTTGTGGGATTTCCATGTACTATGTGAAAGCAAGCTCATGATTATTAGTTAATGAGACATGAGGGATTGCATATGGAATGGTCTCATATTTGAAGCTTGCTAAATTAAAATGAAAAAGATAACAATACATATGAATGGATGATTCAACACAAGATGTGACTTGATGGCTTGAGATGGTGAAGATAGCAAGGAAAGGCTTCGAGGTACTAAGCAAGGGTGAAGGGCAAGCGACGGCTTGGCGGCCGAAGAACCTAGCTAGGGTGAAGAAGAAAGTACTTGCATTTAGTTGAGGTACTAATCAAGCTAAGATGGTCATATTGATGTGAAGAATCAAACCTATAATGAAGTATTTGATGGAAGTGACTTGATACGTTTGGGGTTATTCAAATTTGATGAATGGAATCAAGTCACATGCTCAAGATGGCTATGCTCAAATGAAAAGATCAACATCAACTTGTTAGCAACCTTACTTGATGAAGATTGGAAGGGACGGCATCAATTCAAAAGAAATCAACTCAAGTGGTATAAATTCATTTTTCCTTTGATCTTGAGTTTAATAGGTATGCCGTACTATTAAGAGGGATGCATCATGTTGATAGATAATGTTTCATAAGTGCTCAACCCAACCCATGTGAGGTTTGATTATTTGAGCGACAAATGTGCTAACTGATTTCTTGCTGGTCTGGCAATACCGGACGTGTCCGGTAATCATACCGGACGTGTCCGGTATTTGTCCAGCAGCTGTAAAATTGTTGTTCTCGGGTTGCTTCGTCGGGAGTTCCGACGTAGGTCGGGAGTTCCGACGGTCGGGAGTCCCGGCATGGGTCGGGAGTTCCGACGTCTCGCACTTCAATAGACTTAGAGGTTTCACTGTCCTGGTCATACCGGACGTGTCCGGTATTCACACCGGACGTGTCCGGTATGGATGACCAGAAGCCAACGGCTAGTTTTCAAAAGCTGTGAGGGTCGGGAGTTCCGACATGCGTCGGGAGTTCCGACACCTCACTAACTTTAACTCAGTTACATGTTTTTCAAAATTGCTGAGGGTCGGGAGTTCCGACGGTTGGAAGTCCCGGCATACTTCGGGAGTTCCGACGCCTCACAACATCATCAGAACTTAGTTACCGTTATGTTAGATCGAGTCATACCGGACGTGTCCGGTATGCATACCGGACGTGTCCGGTATTACATACAACGGCTATAAACGGCTAGTTTTTCAAGGGGCTATAATACCCCCAAGCCTCCACCTTTGGAGGTCTGTTGATTCTCTTGAGATAGACACACGTTTTTGAGCCTTGCCAACTCTCCTAAACCCTCTCTTAGTGAGTGTGATCCAAATTGCAAAATCAATTTGTGGGTTGAGAGAGAATTTGAAAAAGAGAGCAAGCCACCACTTGAGCACTTGTGCATATTGTCAATCTCGTGATTCGCATTTGTTACTCTTGGACTCTTCGGTCCTAGAGCGGTTAGGCGTCACGGAGAGCAACCGAGAGATTGTGGTTGCCGGAAAGTTTAGAACGGTCGATTCCGCCGCTACCGGAATCAAATTAGTGGAAGGAGGAAAAGGAGTTGGAAAAGACTCCAGCTAGAGTGACCTTCGTGGTACCCTCTAGGGCTGACCTTATTTGGGTCGCCCTGCAGCCCCCTCAATGGAGAGTAGGACTCGAACGAGTCTCGAACTTCGTAAAACAAATATCGTGTCTAAATTCGCATTTCATTTGATATTTGTGTTGCTCTAGCTGTTCGCGAGGGTTCTCTGTGTATATTGTCATCTCCATTAGGTGCCTGCAGTTTGGTTTGAAGATAGAAATCGAAAGGAGCAAGTTCGGGGCCGATTTGCGAGAAATCGTGTATACCGGACACGCCCGTATTCATACCGATATCGTCCGGTATTTCCGGCTCGCAGACCGAAAATATTTATTCTCTGTTCTAACTTGGTGTTGCGGGGTTGTAGCTTGTAGATATATTCTTTATACCTTGTTTACTTTGTGGCTAACTTGTGAGGGGTGGTAGTACTCTTAATTTGGAGTTTCCATTTTGGAAACTCCCTTTCTAATTGTTTCCGCATTTAAAGGTGTTATTTTTCAGTAAACGCCTATTCACCCCCTCTAGGCGGCATCCTAGGTCCTTTCAATACCTTCACTCAAAAAATAGGATGGCACCTTGGTGTGGGCACACGATGAAAAACAACGGGTCCTCCAAGACTTTTTCCAAGACTTAATTGGAAAGAAGATACACAGAACACAGACCTTCCAATGGCCACACTGCAGCCTAAATGCATTGGTCCAGTACTACTGCCTCGAACTTGATAGGCCCTTCACGTAAAAAATGAGATTCAGCGAGGCAATAAGAGATCCGCCCAGTGTGAGAAGGCGCGCTGGCCGGATGGTTTTACCAGGTGATTTCTACAAGCATTGCTGGGAAATCATCAAGCGGATGTTCTCATTTGCTTTTCACGCCTTCTACATACAACACAATGGGGCTCTGGAACATCTTAACCGAGCACAGGTGGTGCTGATCCCCAAGAAGGAAATTGCGACGGAGCCAAAGGACTTCAGACCGATAAGTCTCATCCACTCCTTTGCAAAGTTACTGACAAAGGTGATGGCGAATAGATTGGCGATGTACATAGATAAGCTAACCTCTGCCTCTCAAAGTGCTTTCATTAAAAGGAGATGCATACAGGAAAACTTCTTGTATGTCAGAGGGCTAGCGCGGCACTACCACCGCACAAGAACACCTGCCTGCCTCATCAAACTCGACATAACCAAAGCATTTGACTCGGTATCATGGGAGTACCTGATTGAACTGCTTGCCAAAAGGGGATTTCGACAAGATGGTTGGACTGGCTGGCAGCGATCCTTAGTACATCGTCCTCGGCAATACTACTCAATGGTTGCCCAAGTGACAACATCAGGCACCAGAGAGGTCTCAGGCAGGGTGATCCACTGTCACCCTACCTGTTCATATTGGCAATCGATGTACTTAATAACATTTTCGACATTGCCACGCAGCAAGGCTTCCTATCAAAACTAAAAGGTAAACATGCAAGCCTCCGGATATCAATGTATGCTGATGATGTGGTAATCTTCAGTAACCCAAGAAGACAGGACATTACCTGCATCATGGAGATCCTCAATGCTTTTGGTGCAGCCACTGGATTATAGATAAACATGCAGGAGAGCACTGTGGCACCGATTAGATGTGTGCACCTAGATATGGAATAGATACTACAAGACTTCCCTGGACCAAGAGTGGCTTTTCCAACGCAATACTTAGGACTGCCTCTCACGCTTGGAAGGTTAAGAATGGTGCACCTGCAATACATCCAAGATAGAGCTAAAGATAGGGTGGCTGGCTGGCAAGGGCGACTGCTGAATGTTGCTGGCCGTAGGGAGTTGGTGCGCTCTGTGCTTAGCTCCCTGCCAATCTACCTGCTGACGGTTGTGAAGGTACCCAAAAATTTCTTGAAAGAACTAGACAAACTTCGTAGAAAATTCTTGTGGGCTGGTGACAAGGAGCTAACTGGAGGAAAATGCAAGGTTGCATGGAACAAAGTATGTACGCCAACAGACAACGGTGGTCTAGGCATCATCGAACTGGAAAGGTTCAGCCGTGCCCTGCGGCTTCGGTGGCTCTGGTTCTCGTGGGACGACACTAACAGACCCTGGAAAGGAATGGAGTTGTCGGTCGACAATAGTGACATTGCACTCTTCAATGTTGCTACAAGTGTGGTCTTAGGAAATGGAAAAAAGGCTAAGTTCTGGTCATCTCGCTGGCTACATGGTCAATCACCTGCAACATTATACCCGGCCTTGTTCAGACATAGCAGGAGGAAGAACAGAACTGTTTGCGATGCCCTGGACGATGAAAACTGGATCAGAGATGTTGACTACAACATGACGGAGTGACTGGTTGAGGAATTCATATCACTATGGACTTGCTTACAAGAAGTCTCTGTCCAGTCGGCAAATGAGGATAGGATCAGCTGGCTACAGACAACGGATGGACAATACACAGCAAGATCGGCATATAGAATGCAATTCCTTGGAATGGCTTCATCCATGACAGCTAAAATCACATGGAAAACAAAGGCGCCGCCAAAATGCCGATTCTTCATTTGGCTTATGCTACAAAACCGCGTTTGGACAGCTGCAAGGCTAATGCTCAGGCAATGGCCAAATGAATATTTCTGCCAGCTATGTGTGAGGAACCTGGAGACGGTCTCACACCTCTTCCAAGAATGCGGCTACTCGAGGAGTGTCTGGGACAAGGTGGGCTCCTGGATCTCGGCGGCTGCCCTAAGGCCGACAAACTGGACACAGATGGAAGATCTAGGACAATGGTATGCTGACATGGCCAACAATGGAGCAAGAGATGCAAGAGAAGGGGTACACTCGATGATCATGCTGACAACCTGGGAAATATGGAAGGAAAGGAACAATCGGGTTTTCCAAAGATCCTCCAGAACACAGGAGCAAGTCTTCAGAGCCATACAAGACGAAGCAAGAACGTGGGTACGGGCCGGAAATAGAGGACTAGAAGAACTGTTGCCTCCATTGGAGCAGCCTCCTGTAGATGCTATAAATCCTATGTAAGATGTAACTATAAAACCTAGGGGTGGCATGGCTCTCACTAGGATGTGAAAGCCATGCAATTTGGCGATCTTTGTGCCAAACCTTTGTAAATAATATGCTCTCCACTTATCAATGAAAGCCGGTAACGGATCTTTCGAAAAAAAAAGGTCCACATCCCGCAACTTCATCTCGGCCAAGATATGCTGTACATGAATGCTGGCGCCGCGGTGATCACGTCCACCATGGTCGCCATGCCGTCACACGTGTCCGGGAGGAAGACAAACATGGAGTACCGTGTGCTCTCGTTGACCTCCGTCGAGGGCATGTCCTTGGACTTTGTGTCGACCTGCCCACGGCGGCGCTTGAGCTGGCCATGAGCCGGTGGTGCGGCGCCGAGCTTGTAAGGTAGCTTTAGGACCTTGAACCCGTCCATGTAGGCAACGTCCATCCTTCGGTATTTCTCCATGAAATCCACCTCGACGTGGCCTCCGTCGAGCCGTTGGAACGTGCCCGGGGATGTGAACTGGAGTTGAAATGGCTCCATCCAGTCGCCTTTGAAGTAGATGGCGTTGGCGAGCACGAGGTCGGTGGCGGCGTTGATGTCGTCGGTGGAGATCATGGAGTCGATGAGGTTGTCCGTAGCCTTCTTCACCCACTAGTTGATCATCTTCACAGCGGCCTCGGGCTGCGCGTACCACACACAATGTGCTATTAGTGAACGTGCGTGATGGATCACAATATATATATATATATATATATATATATATATATATATATATATATATATATATATATGTGTGTGCGCGCGCGATGCAAGGTAGTAAAATGAACAAATGAAGCCTGGGGGTTAAACTGTTACTATTTATGATTAGTGATGTAAAAATCAAGTTTGATAACAAGAATTTTGTATGTAAATGATGGCAGGATGTAATTTTCTCCATCTCATCCAATCCTAATAGAATAGGAAATAAGGCGCCTAATCTGATCTAAATTCATCCAGCATCTTGGTTTATATATTGATCATCTCACAATGCAAGAGAGTTGAAGCACAGATATCCAAATGTCACAACGATTAAATATCTTTTTGCAGGGAATAGTAGTATTGTGTTGGAAACTTGGAACGAGGGGAAAAAAAGCAGCTAATCTAATCTACTAACCTCATCGGTGAAGCTCACGGTTCTCGCCTCCGACTTGTAGGCCTCGGCTGCGACGTCGCGGAACGCGTCTGTGAGCGGCAGGCGGCGTCCACCCAAACGCCTCCGCCGAAGAGCACCCGCGGCCCGCCGGCGTCGGAGCGGTCGGCGAGGACGCGGTCCGCGACGCGGCGGCCGAAGTCGGCGAGCCCCTCGGCCGATGGGGCGCCGAGGAAGGCGAGCAGCTGCGCCCGCGGCCGTCAGCGCCAGCGCCGCGTGCACGGACACCGGCGAGAACGCGACGTTGTGGTTGTGGTTGTTGGTGGCTTAGGCGGCGGCGGGAGGCGGGGGCGTGAGGTGCTTGGCGAGGCGGAGATTGAGGGCTGTCTGCCCGTCTCGGGCTGCGTCTGCGGCTGCAGTTGTGGCGGCGGCGGCGGCGGCGGCCATGGTGGTCGAAATGGGAGACGAGGTCACGGGGAGTGGTGCCGTTTGACGTGGCCGCGGCGTGGGCTTGTGCGTGGTCAAGTCTAAAACATTCTCACTCCGTCGTCGATGAGTCAACTCATTAGAAATTAATTCTTCTAAAAAAAACTCATTAGAAAATTATTTTAGTAACATTTATTTCTAGAAAATAGCATTAATATTTATATTTTTTCAGACAACTTTTACTATAAAATTATAAAAATATATAGTGTTATTTTCAGATGGTTTGAGAACCCTATATTTTCTAGTATTACCAAACATACTGTTGCAATGGAATATACAATTTTTTTAACGAGAGTTTTACCTCAGCTTTTAAGAAAGCAAAGTTTGATACAAGACTGGGGAAGCCAGTTTCTCAGAAAAACAGCAGAAACAAAATAGAACGAAAGCCTAGACTGAGCTAAATTTCATAGACGTCCGAAGAGGTCACAGAGCTAGGATGGAAATAAGTTGGCTATTTTTTTTTTGTTGAACCTAGTTAGCCTTGTCCAACACTAAATCAACTAAATTCCTAGACTCATAATAAATGGTACAATAAAGAGTTAACCTCTGTAAATTCCAGTGTGCAGTTGTTGTGAGCTTAAAAAGATGAAATGTGAGCAACATGTCCGAATACAAAAGCTCAAGCTGCTAAGACATGACATAAGTAAGTGGTAACGTCAACGAAAGTTTTATAGCTCCAAACTAAAAGCAAGAAGGGCGAGAATGATGGACCTCGAACCGAGGAACGAAAGAGGATAAGGAATAGACGAACCGTGAAAGAAGAGAGTGAGAGAAAGAAGAAAATGGCGGCTTGAGCGCCGACTCTCTTTACTCCAAGGCCGTGTCCACTAGTTTGTTTTGTTTTTGACCAGCAACGACTACGGAACATATTAAGGTTGTTAAAAATTGTGGTCTTATATCGGTGGTTGTCTACTTCACACCCTTACTTATAAAACCAAATATTTTAACTCTTAAACTACTAAAAATAATCTAAAGAACCTCTTAAGATGGTTTTGAAGTTGATTTCACTAATGTGGCGATCTGAAAAAGTCCAATAACCCCTTACATATAAAGGGTTAACTATATAAACTCCTCGACTATAAAACCTGATATTGTAACATTTAAAATATCTAATAATATTTAAATATTAGCCTGGATGGCTTTGTAGGACTATTTGGACACCGGACCGGTTACACCGGCCTGAGTACCCATATTTTTAACGGTCTACATGGTACAAAAGGTAAAAAAAAAAATATTACATGTAATACTATAGGAATCGGCCCATGATAAGACAACAGGAACCTATTAGCAAATTTTTTAACTCTATCTCTATTTCCTCATATATACTGGTTACACTGATCATGGATTGGAACCTGTGTCAACACTCAACAGTGACAACCAGATTTGAACAGACACCCAGGCGTCGACGAGGGCGTACCTGCCACATGCGTCTGGGCGATCCCGCGTCAGTACCGGCCCAAGGCACCCAAATAGTTGGGCCTCCAAAGCATCAGCTCAACGCGTAACACTAGTTCTAACCTTTCTTAATTATTGTGCTAGTCTGATTTATCTTTGTGAATTGAAAAACCAGATTTTTGGAGCATCTCTAATAGTTTCCAAAAAATCACTTAGTAAATTAATAGTTTTCCAAGTTACTAAAAAAAGTTAGCAACATATTTGTTGGCTTTCTTCAACCATTTCTAAAATCCCGCTCCTAAAAGATAGAAGGTAATTTTGCATTAGTAATCTAAATCATACCAACTACTTTTATATTTTCTTTCTCTCTTGTACATTTGCATCAGGAACCTGTCCTACTCCTTATTATTTCCCACATTCTTCCACCTTTGGATTGGTCAATGGATACTCAGCGTGTATATCATCGCAATTAGGTCGATTATACCAAGTGCGGAAAAGATTGAGAGTTGAGATAGTGAGTTGTTGGAGAGTTTTTTTTAATCTTGCCAAAGAACCAAGATTGGGAGTGGGTTTTGAAGATGCTCTTAAACTCCCTTAACTCTTAAAATTGTCTGACCTGTCATGAAAGTCCAATTTACCTTCCTTAGAGTTAACGCGACACCGTATAAGACAGATAATGTGGCAGCACGTCAGCAAAAATTGCTTTCAACACGATTCAGGGATGTTAATTAGACTTCATAAAATTGTAGAAATAAAATTTCCAAAATATCTAAATATTTTTTCTAGAATAGATATACATTTAAAAATACTAAACTCTGATTTAGTATTAGAAAATTTAAAGAAAGATTGTTTTAACACAAGAAAATATGAAACCAGTTTCATATTTTTTCTGTATTTCTAAGCTAAGCACCATAATATAGAACGTGATTTTAGAAAAAGTACGGCATCTCAAGCCCATTCAAATTATCTTCCTCCTCGATCATGTGTTTTAGTGCGTGTGCAACTACGATGACAACAAGGAACGACGAAACTGTCGCATCATTCGGATGTTGTCAACCAAGTTGCAAACATCGGTTCAAGAGTCTGAGAAGTTGAACCGTCCAAGTCGCACGCCACTGGCCGCCGATTATGGTCCAATGCACATGTCATTAACATGAGTCCCATAGAAAAAGACAATGTTCCTATAAAGTTAAATCACATGATTTATGTTGTTAATGTGCAATCAGGGCTTGAATTACATTTTATTTGCAATTTTCCATGCATGTCTCAATGGTTAAGTAAGATATTGCTCCTGAGGAAACATTTTTTTAGTTTGCATAGGGTACACAAATTTACGTTGCGGTTTGCAAAGATTAGTCTTGATATGCATCCTCTATTTCATATTTGATGATCCAGTTTTAGATTTTAGGATATATAATTCAGAGTCTTAAATAAGAAAAAAATAGAACATGTTTTTTTAGAAAAAAATGCAACTGGTTTTATTTTTAGAATATTTTTTCTATATTTTTTTGAGAATCTTCTATAAATTTTCTAATCACAGACGAACCAGCACTTCCCATCCATTTGGACCAACCAACTCGGTGTCCGCTCTGTGTAAAAAAAAAAAAACTCGGTGTCCGCTCTCCTCTCCAGTCTCCCCCGACTTCGTTGGCGGCGGCGACGCGAGCTGCAGGCACATCGGCGAGGCGGTCACGCGGTGAGTAAAGTCTGATTGTCTGTCTCTCTCCTTCTCGCTCTCTCCGGGACACCTCAGGATTTGTTTTATTTGACGTTCCAGACCGGACGGTCAGCACCTGTTCGACGGAATGTCTCAGGGGAGTGAGGCCGCGAGGAGCAAGAGGAAGACTGCGGATGGAAGTACAGACCGACTCAGTGGGCTCCCAGAAGGTCTGCTGCTGGACCTTCTGTCCTTCCTTCCATCGAGGGACGCAGTGCGGACGTGTGTGCTTGCCCGCCGCTGGCGCAACCTGTGGAAGGAGGTGCCTGCTCTCCGCATCACCCCTGCCACCACGTCGGGGTACTGTGGCGCAAGTGCCCTGAACAGGTTCGTCAACGACCTGCTGTTCTTCCGCAACCGGTTACCTCTCCATGTGGCCGAATTCAGCTCCTATGGAGGTGACAATTTTGATGAGGCTGTCCAGTATTTGGAGCTTTGGATTCGCTACAGTTTATCATGCCCAGTTGCCAAACTCTCTGTCACCAGCCACGATAAATATCAACGCTGGCTGCTTCCCAAGGGACTTATCACCTCGGAGCACCTGACAGCACTTAAGCTTACCCGGGTCAAGACACAGGACGATCTGAATTTCTCAAGTTGTCTCTAAAGCATCTGAAGATGACTGATTGTGGCATTTACTGTGATAGAATCATGTCCCTGTCACTAAAGCGTCTCATGGTCGCACAATGTCACTTCATTGGGTATGCCCGTACCCAAATATATGCCTCAAATCTCATTCTCCTTCTGTTAGTTGACTGTATGGGAATGACTCCATTGCTCGTGAGCATGCCATACCTAGTGGAGGCATTTATCAGACTTGGATACTGCAATGATTTTTGTAAACATAGTTATGAGATTGGTGATTGCAGGGACGAGTCATGTTGGGGATGCCAGTTCTATGAGGACAACTATGGAAAGAATAATTGCATTCTTCTTCATGGTTTGTCAAGCTGTACAAATCTGGAGTTAACAGCTGCAACAGCACCGGTATGTTTTCCATTAGCACTTAATTGTTTTTCATTGTTCGCCTTCCATTCTGTCCTTGCATTTGTTTCTTAGTTGGAACCTGGAATAGCCATTGGGAAATATGTATTGTGTAGATAACTGTGGCCAAAATCATGTCATGACACCTAGCCAGTTTTGAATGTTAAATACATACTGAATGGTCCTATTCACTTCAGTTGCATCCCCTCATCATGCTTCTTGTACTGCACAAGTTGAGATGTTGAGTTATTCTTACTAAATTTTCCTTTATGCAGTTCATTTTCAGGAAGGATTTGACGCGATGCCCTGTATTTAGCAAGTTAAAAACTTTGTTACTCAATGAGTGGTGCATTACTAATAACCTTGGTGCATTAATATGCTTTCTCCAGCGCTCACCAGTTCAAGAGAAGCTCATTATTTAAAGTAAACCTTGGTATACATGTTCTGACAGATACATGAGAGATTAGTGGAAATAGGAGCAAGTTATGACCTAAGGAAGCAATCCCTTGTATTGAAGGACCTTAATGTTGAAGTTAGATGTGATGATGGTAATGAGCGGGTTCACAAAGTCTTTGGATGTTTTGGGTTCCTATGGTTTATCCCCTGAGAAATTCAAGATCCAACGACCTCCAAAACTGACTAGGGCCCGATTTGATGACACTTGGACTTCTGGAAGTAAGTTTTCTGTTGGCAATTTATATAAATTACTATATTTGTATGACCCTGTTTCTGTATGTATAAAATATAATGAAAAGGCTCCAAATATTGGCCATGGCCAAAGTTGTGGCACTTTGCCAAAATGCATACCAACCAGACGTGGCAGAATTAAGGAGACTGGTGCTGCCTGTAGCATTTATTGCTTCGTTTGGTTTCTAAACTTCAATTGATTATACCAGCTAAATATAATTCCAATTTATAAACCGCTTTTGCAGTAGTAATTGCAATTGAATAATATATTAAGATCCATATTACCTATCATCAGTTATTAAATTGTTTTTTATATATGGGACCCACGTGTCATAATAATCTTATACAATACCCCATTTGTCTAGTATATGATTGAATGTGGCTACAAGAGCATACAAAGGGCCGCCGCACTGCGGAGTTCGTTGGGATGGATCGGAGCTAGACTGGGTGGGCCTGGGTAACCCATGAGTAAATTGAATATTAATATTAATTTAATTAACAAGGGTGCACCTGCATTGGGATTCGTGCGCTAATTTTTACAGAGGGATCATTGAAGCAGTTCTCGATGGGTGGGTGGGTGGGGGGACAAATATCTTGTAGAATTATATTTTTGTGCACAATGGTGCATGTACAAATATTTGTACTCATGGAGTTTTGGAGTGAAATTAACACTAGACCGGCCAGCACAACAACAAAAAAAGGACACATTCATTATTGCAGTCTCCACTACAGGATGGCCTTGTTGTCCCGGGTGGTAACGGCCTTTAGTCCCAGTTACCGCGCCGGGACAACGATCCCGGGACTAAAGCTGGAACTTTCAGTCCCGGGTTATCGAGCCGAGACTAAAGAGGGACCTTTAGTCTCGATTGGTGTTACCAACCGGGACTAAAGGCTCTCCAGCCGAGCAAACGTGGCCGCACCCTTTAGTCCCGGTTGGTAACCCCAACCAGGACTAAATGTTCCTTTTCTTTTTCTTTTTCTTTTTTTTGTTTAATTTGTTTTTAGGTCAGTTACACATATTTGTTTAATATATAATATGTTTTTATGTACGTATTCTACGCTGCTAATATAAATACACGCACGTATATAATTACATCTAATTCTCGTCTCGAGCATTATTATATTCGAATAAAGTATGAAACTATATATATTATAGATATATATGTATATATACAACACTTTCATAATCTTGTTCTCGAAAATAACGATATCAATAAACATTTAATTTACATCATTTATTCCTTAGGATCAAAGTAGAACTCATTGTTGGGATTTAGCACTTTTTCTAGAAGAAATCTCGCTATTGACTCTTGAACTGCTTTCAGATGGTCTTTTTGCATGACCCTTTGTTTCAACCATTCAGTCTTGCATTTGAAATAAAAGGAAAAGTATTAATACATACATATATATATATTCATTTAAAAATAAATAAAAAATTGATATATACATACTCTGAGGACATCTTTAGGAGTTCTTCTTATGTGCTTGTGATGATAAATTCACAAACGTAGTATCCACACAAGTTATTACACAGTTTCTTTGCATAAAACACCACTGCATTTGAGAAGAAGATTATTCTCATCATCTCACACGTAAATTGAAATACGATATAGTAATTAAACACGTGGGGAAGTATATATAGTACAACTTATCGGTATTTCAACTACATTAAGTGGTGCCTTGTAATCCTTGCGGTGTTGTCGAATAAACTCTTTCCAAACCCCCTGTATGCACCAATAATGTACGATCGTTAATAAATTATGACAAAGTCTATTCAATAATAGTTGTTGCGCGAGATCGAAATTACCCCCGGATAATGTCTATCATATCTTGGTATAGTGCCCGCTCTTTTCTCTTCGAGTCTAAGATTACTAACCGATTTGAGTTTAACTCAATGACAATGAGTATCCAAAGTGAAACCTACATTGGTTTATACACACACGCATATGCATATAAGTTGTATTGATATTACATAAAATGTGTAGACTACATTATTATTAACACTTACTCAAAAGTCACGGGAAAAGTATTGTTGTCTTGTCATGTCGCTTCACGAAGAACCTCATGATATTCTCTTCTCAGGCTTCAGATACCCATCGCTCCTTGGGAATAATATCGGTTTTGAATACGATATAAGGATCAATGAAGCCAACACTGGTGTCTTGTATTCTTTGGAGCTCTGACATCTGGAATCTGTATATAAATATAAGTTACATGTGAGGATAATTATATACACGTACGCATGGAAGTGAGTTTATTAAATAAAAGTAATAATCACTTACAAACAAAAGGAGCTAATGATTGATTTGTCTAGAGCGTCCATGTGGCATAGTTGATGCAATTCTTCGAAACTAATATGTAAGATGTCATCGCCATGAAAGTAATGATGGTCTCTAAATCTGACAAAGATCCACTCCTCACCCCTGCCACACGCCTGCATGTACCACTTATTGAGCAAGTACATTTGCGTACCCAATTCATTCAGAGCCGTAGGGTTGTACAGACTTTTACCAAATTTATAAGTCTTCCAGGTATCAACTTCCAGGTTCTAGATTAGAGCTTTGCCCATCAATTGATCCAAGGTTAAACCAGTATCTTTAAAAAAAGCATTAAGGTCTTACCGACACTTCTCCAGAGTTGTCTGGTCGATAGACTACTATGTTGGAACCATATTCATTAGTAACAACAAGATTTTGCATTGGTTGCTTCTGTTGTCCGAGCTGTGGGACATCCTTCCCTGATGCTCTTTTCCTTTTCTTATCTGCATCATGTGACTTCACAAGGGAGCGGTCATAGTCTGATAGTGGCGGAGGCTTACGAAGTTCAAGCATCTTTTTCTTGTGATCTTCGACCTTCTGCCTCAGCAGATCTCGTGGTATGTAAAAGTACGGCTTTTCCTCAAGCTTCGCTTGTCTCTGCTTTTTGATATCTATAAAAAAGTCTTTTACTTTTTTGTCTTCTTCAGCTGCTATTTGCTCATCAGTCTTTTCGGGAAGTATTTCTTGAGAAATAACTCTTTTTTTCGGGATCTTCTTTGCCGCTGGGGACCAAAACAACAATTGTATATATTGATTAGATGAACAAATTTGGTATTCAACACTTTTCAATTTGAAGTCATTTAGAGTTCATAATATTAGAGTCAAAGTGTTGTTTTTTCATTTGACCAAATTTGACTTGGTCAAACTTGCTCAAATGAGACACTAAATGACCTCAGATCAAAAAACTCTGAGTACCAAGTTTGATCATCTCAGCAAGATCTACAATTGTTACATAGATTATTTTCTCATTTGAGAAAATTTTATCAAACACTTGTCACAAATTCTTGAATCTCATAAACTTTCTAAAACTATGTCACACACTTCTAAAATTTGAGCTATATTTTGTTCAAACTTTTTCAAATGAAAAAATGGCCTATATAAGTATTGTAGATCTTGATGAGGTGAACAAACTAGGTATTCAAAACTTTTCAATTTGAGACAATCTAGGGTTCCGAAAACTAGCTTGTAGGCGTTGAAATTTAAAAATCACAAATTTTAACCCTCTAAACTTTCTCAAATGGAAAGTTGACCAAAACAACAATTGTATATCTTGATGAGCTGAACAAACTTGGTATTCAAAACTTTTCAATTTGAGACAATCTAGGGTTCTGAAAACTAGTTTGTAGGTGTCGAAATTTAAAAATCATAAATTTGAACCGTCTAAACTATCTCAAATGGGAAGTTGAGCAAAACAACAATTGTAGATATTGATGAGCTGAACAAACTTGGTATTCAACACTTTTCAATTTGAAGTCATTTAGAGTTCATAATACTAGAGTCAAAGTGTTGTTTTTTATTTGACCAAATTTGACTTGGTCAAACTTGCTCAAATGAGACACTAAATGAGCTCAGATGAAAAAACTCTGAATACCAAGTTTGATCATCTCAGCAAGATCTACAATTGTTACATAGCTTATTTTCCTATTTGAGAAAGTTTTATCAAACACTAGTCATAAATTCTTGAATCTCATATAGACTTTCTAAAACTATGTCACACACTTGTGAAATTTGAATAATGCGGGCACAACAGTGAATTTCTTCTTAAGGTATGACCCTTGGTTATGATCTTGTCGTAACCATGGAGTGTCTTCATCATTTAACATGATGCTTGGATCTTTCTTCACTATGAAGGGTGAAATTCGGACATTTATTTCATAATCTTCTGACATGTCTGATTTGTCTTCAATTCCGACTATATTTATTTTCCCAGAAAGAACTATGTGGCGCTTTGGCTCATTGATCATTGAGTTGATGTCTTCGTTTTTTCCTCTCTTTGATTTTGTAGACATGTCTTTCACATAAAACACCTGACTCACATCGGTAGCAAGGACGAATGGTTCGTCTTTGTACCCAATATTGTTGAGGTCCACTGTTGTCATTCCATACTCTTTGTCAACCCTTGTTGGGTCCCTGTCTCTTGACTCGGTACTCCATCACAATCTTTTGCTTACACTTGCCGCAGATAATGAGAGGGAGTTCTGGCCTCAGTCGTTTCGCAACCGAACGAGAGGCCGAGGATCCGGTACCAGTTGTCATCTACTTTCTATACTTATTTTTGCAAACTAGTGTAAATTTCATATTTTCTAAAATAATATATTTAAACCAAACTAAAATTATTTATTTATCTAACTAAACCATGAAATATGTACTATGTATAATAGTAAAATACCAAACTATCAAGTGATTTTACTATTGTAAATCATCATGTGATTTTGAGCTAAAAATGACATAGAAATCACATAGCTCAAAAACATGTTTCAATAAATAACCATCCGTATTTAGTTGACCTTGCTTACGTGATCATCTCGTGAGCATTTCTCCACCGGACGGCATCAGATTTTGGCCAAGGAAGAGCTCCGATTCTACGAGAAAGGGAACACGG